TCCTACTAAACAAAACTGGTTATTGCTGATTCATATCCCCTTCCTAATCAATAGGATGTTAATCAACTAAATGTAGTGTCATGCTGGTGGTTAGTGCAGACTCTCAAATATGCTGCTCTGCTGTTTGCTGGATGGAGTTTGCATAAAACAGTCATGAATCAGGACACAGGCATTGTGGAGTCAGCACAGGGAGTTACTACTTCATTACTGAAGAAGCCAGTATCTGATTCAAATGAGGTCCAGCAAGAGAGAAAAGAAAAGAAAAAAAAAAAGGAAAGTACTTAACTGAGATAAACGCACCTGCCTTCCAGTAAGATAAGATGTTTAGGCAAATTTTCTTAACATCAATTTTACAAGAGAGTAGTTTATAAGTACAAGTGATTCAGGACAAATTATAACAACTTGCAACAATAACATTGTACACTTCTGATGTAGTAGACGCAGAAATAGGTGAACAAGTGAAGTGAAAAAAATAGGGAAGTGAGAGACTAGTATGTCCTACTGTATTAAGGTCTAATACAAACATTACTAAACTTTTATTTATATATATATATATATATATATATAGAAAATAAGTATTGACACCTAACCCCAGGTATAATACAGTACTTTTGAACTGAATTGCAATGTTTCTTCTGCAAAATTGCCAAACAGTACGGTACAAGACATTACTAAACTTCACCGGCTGAACTATTGACACCTAGGGGCACAACAGTAAAACGTGTCAAAAAAATGTCTAAAGGTTATGCCTATAACCTCTGTTCCCTGTGAGCAAATTGCATTTTCCATACCAAATTAAGGCCGACACAAAAATGTCAAAGATGGCAGTTTCACTGAAATGTCAAAACACTGCCCGTTCGGGTCACACACGTTTATTCCCTACGGCCACTGCCCAATAATGTAATTACTCACTCTCATGTTGTTCCAACCCCGTAAGACTTTCTTGAACAAGAAGTCTTACCGTGATCTTCGGAACACAAATTAAGATAAGTTTCAATAAATCTGAGAGCTGGATCTCTTCTCCATAGGCTTCTAAGGGATTGAAACCTGCCGGCCTAGAAAAGTTATTAAAGACATCATTAAAATAGTCAATCTTAAGTTTATCAAGTGACAAGAATACTTTTTGTGTGAAAAACAAAACCAAAAAAACTTTATTCCACTATTCAATTCCTTCTGTGTGGGCCTCTGACGTGAGTTCACATAGTGTAACAGCGCAGCGCTTCTGTGTTGTACGTCACATGCATCACACACATGACCAGCGTCAGCTAATAGTGAGCCTACGTGTGACGTACAACACAGAAGTTAATATAACAACACAAATACAGAGTGACTGAAGTTCAGAGCTATAATCTCAATGACTCGCTAAAGTGAGAGGAGAACTGCTGCTCTAAATGAAGGTGGCTATCAAGGTGGCCCGAAGAGGGCCAACACTTGACTTTGTAGTTATATCTGGAGCTTGACAGAGCGGTGGCCTCAGTAGAATAACTCTGGATAGGGAGGAAGCCATCTCACACAAAAATTACGCTCAACAGCTTAACATACACAGCACAGGGTGGCTGTGAGGGTTTGGGTTGTATATCATCTTCACCCTCATCAGCCATCTCAAGTATCAACGCTTTTCCATTTTCAGTTCGACTCGACTCGGCTCGCCTCGACTCGCTTTTCACTCCGTTTTCCATTGCAGACAGTAACGCCACAAATAGTAGGTCGTCATAGCGGAAAAAAAAAATCGGTCGTCATAGTGACGCCTTTCGTTCCTCGCTGCCCTATCAAGCTCTCGCTGGATCCTCTCTTCGGCAACCAAACAAATGAAAGTCTGCACCTCCTTGTTTGACCACGGCGTATTCTTCCAAGTTGCCATAATAATAGTAGTAAGTTTAGAAACTATCTCTGGCCAAACTATTTAAAAATGGCGGGGATAATCTGGATACTCCATCTCTGGCGCGTGCAATGTTGACACAGTGAATGGTGACGATTCTCTCTGACCAATCAGAAGTCTGCATTATTTTCACGTCACATTTTAGTAGCTCGCCTTAGCTCGCTCAGAACCTCGCCAGAGGTGATCCCCAAAAAAAGTACCTGAAAGCAGGTACAGGTACAACTTTTACACAGTAGAAAACCAAACATTGCGAGCCGAGCCGAGTCGAGTTGAGCTGGTACTGTGTAGTGGAAAAGCACCATTAGACAAGGACGCACACACTTCCTCAAGCGTTTTTTCACAAGCCAAGATAATCTGTTTTTTTAGTTTTCAGATTGAAGCATACAAACAGTCCCTGAAGGATGAAATGATGTTGACATGTTCTCTGGGCTCCCCATATACTTCTGGGTCACACTAGTAGTGATGTCATAGGCTGTCACAGGCCAATAGAATTGTTATGATTAGATAAGCATTTCAGACACCGGTTCACGTAGAGTGGTTCCCCAAAGCATTATGGACGCAGTGAGAGGACGCAGTGGACGCTTATTTTTAATGTTTCGTCTGCTGAACTAATCAAAACCCTGCTAGACAATAAACTGGCTAAAAGACATAGCTTTAATATTTTGTCTTCTAAACCATCAATGCCTAAATACAAAATAAGCTGCACAATATATCACTTTAGCGATGCGTGTATCCGGGATAGACACATCACAGGACAGCTGTCACCTTAATACTTGTGAGAATAAACGCTCACCATCCCTCCAACTTTGCTGCCATCTTCCATATTCACTGTGACCCAACAACTACCAGTATGTAAAATCTGAAGTTGGAGTGACTCCCATCAGCACAGAGTTGTGACAAATGTTGATCTAGAGTGACATAAAAGTCGCATGAATTCCGATATGACTGTTCAGACAATTAATGTTTATCAATTTATTAGTCACTGAATCATTTATTCAAGAGATTTGTTAAAAAAAAAAAAACACTGATTCATCCAGTATTGAAACAAATAAAGCATTTGAATGAGTCACTGAATCATTCATTCAAACCATTTTTTTTAAATATTGACTGCAGAAATTAATATTTTCTCAGTACCTCTAGTACATTACATGTTATTATGCTTGTCTGCTCAGAATTGTGATTATTTCTTTTTAAAAAAATGTGACTCCGTCTATTTAAAATCAAGCAGCTCGAATGTCCAGGCAAACAAAAGTAAGAAACTCAAGGAAAGATATATTTTCAAAGTTTCGTTGGCTTGACAATCAACACCATTGTAGTCAAACTAAATGATCCTTTCCATGATATATCAAAACAATAGACTTCGAGCCTAATGTGAGAGTGCTTTTAAGAGTGCGCTTCTTGCAACTCACACACTCAGACTCTCATCATAATGGAAAAATAACTGTTTATCTGCATGTTTGGTATAATTTCAAGAAGGACAGGAAATCACTTGGATGTGTTTATTATGAAATCTTCTTATCTTAACTTTGTAAGACTCAACCAGCACAACCAGACTCCATTATGTTTACTGACACTGTGCTCTATATCTGCCAAAGAAAACACGGCCATCAAGCCCACCCAAGCCAACCCAACCCACACTGATCAATTTTGGAGGGCTTTGAATTGCACGCTCTCGAAAAATCAACATGATTTTACGAGGGATACCTGAGGACAGTCCCACAGAAAGTGAGCTTTATGTTTGCTTGTCTAGGCTAAACTGTCACGCTGTGTGAACCGCAACCTAGCAGTTACCACATGTTCTCCGACACCATTTGTATGGCACATGTGAGCAACAATCGTTTGAATCCACCACTTGCAACATTTCCAAGCTGAACTGTATCCCTCTCTGTTCCCATAATTTCCTGTGAGATTGTCAACCACATGTAGCATTTTTAAGCTGAAGTTTGTAATTTCTGTGGCACTAAACCAAACCATCCATAAGCAATTGTTCAGACAAACAGATAGTCCGGCCTCAAACTCTTGCAATTGGTTGAGCAAAGTCAGCGTTCACACATTTTGTCGGTTTAAATTAAATCGGGATAAGAGAAAGAAAGAAAAAAAAAATCCCCAAAACATAAATGAATGATTTAATCCCAAAAATGAGAATGTCAAAATCCATCCTTCCAGTTCTTTTGGACTGTAAAGGACAAAATATCTTTCAATTAGCCGAAACTTGAAGAAACGAATGTTTTGCCCCTCTAAACATCCTCACTGTGTGTGTGTAGTAACACTAATGAGTGTTCACTGATGTACATCTGTGTTTCCTTAATGCTAGCCTGTCATCACTCACTCTACATGTCTCTACCAGCCCTTTAACCTGTTTTATATGAAAATAAAGATGTTGCAAAGATGTGAAAGGAAAGCCAGCTCATTGTTCCATCTAAAACACACACATAAAACACACAAACACTGAGCATAGATTAACAGCACCACCTAGCTCCTGCAAGGGATAACTGCATTCCACCCACAACACTTTGCTCTCTCTCAATCACACACACACACACACACACATACGGGTTTTTGTTAATTACAAGGACACTCCAGCCCAAACCAGTCTGTTGGTGTATTAGGGGGACACCCCTTTCCACTTGCTCTACAGAGATGTAATGGGTATCAAAAAATCTGATTTGTGCCATACAACATAGATTTCACTTCAGAATTTGGATACACTGAACACAATTTATAATATACAAACCTGACATTTTACATACTTACGGGGACAATTGATAATTAGATAGACAAGCCCCGCCCATGAAACAAAACTAAATTATAAGGACAGTCATTACAGTGTATTAGAGGGACATGGCTATACACATACACAAAAGTGAAGGCATTGTGTATTAACAGGACGTCCCTGATTTATAAGAACATGATTAGACTCGGCACACGTCTGTGCACTGCAAACACACCCCATACCTGTGGCTCATACTGACAACAGACCAGAACACTTAAAAGTATAATATTTGTATGGTGATGTAAATATGCACCTATAAATTTTAAACAGTGCATTCAAGGACCTGCTATTTGTGGGATATATTCACATGACCATATGACCTTTTAACACACACCAGGACATACAACATTGTGCAAGGAGCAGAGTTTATTAGTGCTTGTTGTCAACATTAGTTGTTGGCCTGACAATTTTACATAAATCTCAAGGTACACTACAATCTGTCTTGTGTAAAAAGAAAAACAACAACAACAACAACTGTAAAATGCAAAGAGATGGAATTCATTTAGATAGATGTCTTTAATTTGTTTTCAGATATTTTTATTACTATTTCATAAACATAAATAGTAATAAAAATAGTTGGAAACAAATTAAAGAGATTGCTGTCAAGTCACCTTTATTTAAATAGCGCTTTTTAATATACAGATTGTATTAAAGCCGCTTTCCAGAAATACAGTGATTTTCATCGAGTGCTGTACAGCAGATCTAGAAGAAAACAGAGTCATAGTTCAGCTTTAGTAATTTCTGTGATGGATTATTTCTGTTGTAACAAAAGTTATTCATTTAGTTCATATAAATTCAAATATTTAGCGGCTCTGGAGTAAACCGTGATGTCATAGTCCAGCTCCGTTCAGTTCTCATATAATGATGTCAATGCAGGAGATCAATAATATTATTTAACACCATGTCCTAACTACATGCGACGTGATAAAATTCCAGCGACAGCAAGTGTGTCTGTCCACACTAGACGTGACGCGACTGTGAGACGCCACACGTCAATCAAAAATCACAGCCATTCAGAACAGCGTGTGGGCGGAGTCTCTCTGTCAAAGCGCACTGCTGGCCCGTAATCGCATTGGAAATGGGTAAGGACAATCAAATCAAGAAATAACATTATTAAAAATCAAAACATTAACAAAATATACTCATTGACTAATTTTGTTATGAAGTACAGTTGTATGTTTGCATAGAATTCATTTTGAATGCTATATTATTATGCTTTCAAAATCTGAGGTAAATTATCCATTATCGCTTGTGGCATAGTGACCTATTTTTAACTAAAAATAAATAGTGTGTACTCATAACCAGTGTAATTTCTTGTAATCTGTGTAATCTGTCAGCCGCGATGTCACAGAAATAGGAACCGTTTCTAAATTAGAAACTTTGCGTGTCGCCGTCACGTCTGGTTAGGACAAAAACTCTGATTAACATGGAAAAGATACCTTTTATCGCATGTCGCGGCGTCGCATATAGTTAGGACACAGTGTAACATTAATATTAAAGAACCGCTGAACAGTGCATTAACTAATGTTAACAAGATTTTAATAAAGCATTAGTAAATTTAAAAAATTAACATTAACAAAGATTAGTAAATGCTGTAGAAGTGCAGTTTATTAATAGTTGATGTTAACTAATGTAGTTTACTAATGAACCTTATTGTTAAGTATATTTAAAAGGACTTAAAGTTATCAGTCCGTTAAGATCTCCTTTTTAAACTTATGGTCAACTGTAATTTGATCAGTTTTTGGCCATAACATGAAAATAATTATCAGCTTATTGGTAGACACCACAATGACAATATTGGTCACTAATTTCTGTAATAAAACAAACTGCTGACATACCAAAAGCATTGGAGAAATGATCATCCTCAGGATGGCTTTCATCAGGATTACTGGCATCCAGTCATTCTGATCTCATCTTGAAGTAAAAGAGAAATAAGAATATGAGAAACATTGATATCTGTTTAAAAGGTATTTAACTGTAAAGTTACCTTAAGTCATGCACACACAATCACACACCAGTTTCCTTAAACCTCCCTATGAGTGTAAAAGATCCACTTAACCTCCTACACTAGGATAGACCTTCAGTCTCAATGTCATCATGTGACATTGAATATTAGGAAAGCGGCCCTTTTCCATGGCTAGCAGAAACTTTGATATTTTAGCCAGCCCAGAAGTGGCTTCTGGGCTGTAATTGTCATGATAGATGTGGATATCATGTCCCAACAAGTTGGTGACCTGATCCACTACATCGTTTTTCAGGTTTAGGATCTGGGAGAGAGTAGCTATGTGTTTGCACAGAAGAGTTGATCCAAGAAACTCTGGATTATGAGCTGCACATTGACCTGCATAGGCCCTAAGAGAGTCAGGGCCTCAGTAGTGACTCTGGCAAACCAGAATTCATTAGTTTCCAGCACTCCACATTCACTTCTCTTGCTGACCAGCAGTGTCAGGGCATCAACCATATCAGGCGAGAGAAGAACAGCAACCTTTCTTCCACCTTTGGCTGCAGAGTTTCTGTTCAAGCCTGGCCCGTGGCAAGTGCTGTGCCTTTCTTTAAAGCCTTTGAGTAGCAATTTAAAGACCTCTCCAGCACATCTACGATCAATCAAGAAACAATCATTCTGGCAAGTGTTGCTTTGGCCATTTCTGCATATCTTTGAGATGCCATCTCTTTTAATTTTTGAAATGCCGTATGAGCATTTTACATTTACATTTAGTCATTTAGCAGACGCCTTTATCCAAAGCGACTTACAACTGAGGACTAAATCAAACAACTCATTGTGAAGAGGCAATAACAACACAAGAAGTGTTCAAAATACAAAGTTCAAACATTGCTCAGAGTAGCATAAACCAGGCAAGTAAGGATTTAAAGAATATGTTTGTTTCTTTTTTATGTTAAGTGCTCACGGAAGAGATAAGTTTTCAGTTGTGAATGCTGTCAGGGATTCTGTGTTCCGGATGATGATGGGCAGATCATTCCACCGGCTTGGAACCATGAATGAGAATGTTCTGGAGAGTGATTTTGTGGCTCTTTGTGATGGTACCACGAGCCGTCGCTCATTGATCGATCGTAGGCTTCTGGTAGGGAGGGATGTAGACTCGTGAGCAAGTGAAGGGAGCTGATCCTGTGGTCGATACGCACGCAAGAGTCAACGCCTTGAACTTGATGCGAGTAGCGAGTGACAGCCAGTGCAGAGAGATGATCATTTGTAGAGGTTTAGTTGCACATGATGGAAGTCCAGCCAGAAGAACATTGCAGTAGTCAAGCCTAGAGATGACCAGGGCCTGGACAAGATGCCATGTTGCTTGCTCAGTTAGGAAAGGTCTGATCTTCCTGATGTTATGCAGTGCAAACCTGCATGATTGAGCTATCTTTGTAATATGGTCTGAGAAGGTCAGCTGGTCATCAAAGATTACTCCAAGATTTCGGACCGACCTTGATGCAGGGCTCCAGACTAACTTTTTTTACTAGGAGCGCTGTTGCCCCTGACTGAAAATTTTAGGAGCGCAAGCAGAAAATTTAGGGGCACACCTTAAATCAGCTTGCAATGCAATTATTCAAATTTCCCCCAAAATAACTGTAATACTGACAAATTCTTTAATAATAAATAGACTTGACATTATGATATGCTGTTTTATTTTAAGTTCACAGGGCTCCAGACTCAAAGTTGAGGGCAGCATCACCTCAAATGAGAACTCACAGCGAGTTCTACAAAAAAATAAAATAAAATAAAAATGTGGTAGCACGGAGGCTGACAATAAATCACTAAGCTTAATTTAGGGTGTAGATGAAAGTAGATGAAATTAACTTTAGTTACTATCATTTATAATGTCTTAATATTAATTAATAAAAGTAGTGAAATATGTATATGGATTATGGAGTGAAAATAGCCAATAAACATCCTGTTTACAATGGTAGCCTATTATTATTTTTTGTGTTTAAATAAGAGTTTTCCAACATCTTAATTTTTCGTTTTAGGACAATCTTTAAAGGATGAACAAAAAATGTGTTGGTAATCACATAAAAAATACAAATATGATATTATTGAAGTGCTGGGAAAAGATGTGTAGTAGGCTACTTGTAAGCATTTGATTATTTCTTACACATTATCATATTTATGGTTAGAATTAACTTACTACATTAGCCTAAATGCATGGTTCTGATAGGCTGATTTGTGGACTGAAAGCCTAACGTCAAGTGTTTCTCCTGGTTTCCACGTCAGCGCTGTTTGATCTGATATGGTTTATAACAGAACTCTGCGCCGAATCAGAGTGTTTGTCACTGGATCTCGTGGTGTTGATGTTATTAATTCTGAGGCGAATTCAATGGATTTCTTTACTGGATCTAGTAACAGTGTTGCGTGAGCAAGATCGACCCGCGACTGGCAAGTTCGGGGCTTTATTTTGTCAATGGTTCGGATCGCTGCTGCAGCTCCACAGTCCTAATCATAGCTATGAGTGGCGTATTTTCGTTCCACTTTCATTTTGTTTACATTCGCTGCTAGGTAACGACTAACGAGTCGATAGATCGCTGATTGCTCAGACGCACATCAGGTTGTGATATTTGTCTCCGTCTCCTTCCCACAGACGTTTACGCGCGCTATTCTTGTCACGGATTCATTGACGCCCCCCTTCCACGCTTTACCATGCGTTTAACGTGTGGCAAATTTACTGGTCGCACATGTGCGACTGGATGTAAAATTCAGTCGCACACTCTCAAATTTTGGTCGCAAAATGCGACCATTTGTTTGCAGTCTGGAGCCCTGTGATGGAACCCCATCATGGAAGAAGAATGCCATCGTGTTTACAACTGTGACAATGAGTGCTTACCAAGATTAACTAATTGCTGGATTTTCAAAACTATGTGAGGTTCGCAGCTCTACTGTTGCAGTAAACCTGCACGTTCTTGAAGAATTTAGATTCACGCCGTCTGTTATTGTAGGCACATCGATGTTACATTTGCACACCCCTAAACATGACATGGAACAAAACGGTCATTGGTTACCTTGCATGTCAGTCAGTCAAACGTCAACTTGGGCGGTCCATGACCAATTGAAGCTGTGATAGAGTACAGACCTCCTGCCGTCAGTCTGAAGGTATCGCCTCCCGAGATCACCCCAACTTCAGCCATGTGAGTTTTCAAATGGCTCATCTAAAATTAGAAGAAACTTTACATAAACACTTCCTCTAAGAGTTATAAAACATTGTTAAACCCCCAAAAATCTCAAATGTGTCTAAGGCATAATATATAGCCAGTAAATAATAGGGGTTTAACGGTACACGTATTCGTATTGAACCGTTTGGTACGAGGCTTTCAGTTTGGTATGTATTTCAAACCAAATGATTTGATGGACCATTTTTCCTGCCAACCAAAATTATGTTAGTATTTGCACTGGTGCGACCACCACAACACTGCCCAACTGATGCAAACGTGATGAAAGCGGAACGAAACTGCGCAACTCATTTGTGCTTAACGAACCGTTACGGGTTTGGACCAAATAAAATAACCTTTGTTATCCCTATTCGTAACTACTACAATATTACATTTAATTTTCTTTACAATGAGCTTTATATGCTACTGAAAAACTTTTTTTTACAAGTTTTTGCTTTATATGCTGCTAAGAAGAGTCAAGTATAGCTCCATCATTGTTCAAATTAAAAAAAAGATACTTTATGACGTTAGTTTTAATAAATGAATACAAATTTGAAAATCAAGGAAATTTCTCTGGCATTTCATTCTTTTTGCTGTATCGAAAACATACCGAACCGTGTCACCACTGTATCATATCGAACCGTGCATTTTGTGAACCGTTACACCCCTAGTAAATAATGCAAAATAATCATGGACAGGTTGATCAGGGTCCCACAGCTACTGACCACTAAATATGTGAACGTGAAATATTGATTTGAGTTTATTTTGTAATCATGTATATATCATTAAAAAATATGCAAGAATACCAAATAATTTCATTCAATAACAATTTATCAGAAATCAATATTTAACAGATTTTTTTTTTACTTCTGTTAGGGTTAGCTTCTTACTAGGTATTAATTATCTATAGAGGGAATGCATTGACGTGACTTTCCCGCCGGAACAACCCCCCTCAGCCCGACTGAGTGGCAAAAGACCTGCTACGTGACTGGATTTAATAGGGGGAACTGCGAAAATGGGACTAAAACGAACAATTTTAGCAATTTCAACTAAATGTTGGACTCAATATAGTGTTCCTTACAACTTACGAAAGATCCAGTGATCCATGGATATTGACATGCAGACAGGAATCGTGTTGCCTGACATTTATGTTTGCCTGATTTCGACACCGGGGAAATAAAAGCAATATAGACCTAAACATAAAGCAAATTTGCCTGTGAACGCTTTATATAAATACAATATTGGTAGGTCTAAATCCAGTTAATCACTTATATGAGTGTTATATATAGCCTATATATATCATCATATCGTCCAGCCCTAAAACTTTATAGGTTTTTTTGGTCAGTGTTTACTAAAAAACATCCAATAATGCAGAAAATGCAATGATAAATATTTAATTGATGAGTTGTTAATATATATAACAATACAAATTATATGGGTATGGTTTTACACCTAAATTCAGCATATTGACACAAAATGATAACTGCAAATCCACCTTTGGCTGACTGGAGTCCAGTTGTTTCTGTGAATTGCAGCGATCCATTTGCTCCTCTTTCTATAGCAGTCTGTAAAAATATACCTGCGATTTTTTGTCAAATCTAGTTGTACAGTCAATCGCAAATCTCTTTCCCACTTTATTTGTGTGTGTTGTTTTTGTTTTTCGTGTCATTCACGCTGAACACATATACAGCCGCTCAAGTCTTTTTGCCACTCACTGTGAGGAACTGCAGACACTCCGGCTGACGGTGACGTCACGCGCATACCCTCTATTGTATAGTTGTATTTTTTTCTATTTAGTGTGACTTTATGTATGGTAGAGCACTTTGGCTCAACCATGAGTTGTGTTAAAATGTGTTATTCCATATCAGTGAACCCCTGTGTCCCCATAATAACTAGTGTCCTCATAAAGCAGGCTTTTGTCAAACACACACACACACCGATTCTTCAGACAAGTCAAACATCAAGAACATCATCTCATGATGTTGATGTCCTCATAAAACAGATGTCCTCATAAATCGGGTGTAAGTCACACACAAACTGGCCAATACTAATATAGAAAACTCATATTTGTGCTTGTAAAATATAATCTTTCTTTATTTTATTTATTTATAAAGCACCTTTTACACAACTCATGGTTGATTTTACAATACACATTAAGTCAAACTGATGTTAGCTAACCCTAACCATAATCCTAACCCTAACTGAAGTAAAGTTATGGTAAAACCTGAAGTCTGGCGGCCCAGCACAGTCTAATCTGCCCTGCCAGATTCATAATGAACCAAAAATATTTTTAACTATTTCTCAAAGGAAAGTCGTACTAATAGTAGTAAGTTTAGTAACTATCTCTGGCCAAACTATTTAAAAATGGCAGGGTTATTCTGGATACTCCATTTGGCGTGTGCATTGATGACGCAGTGAATAACCCTAACCCAAACCCTAACCCAATTATCAGTCGTTATTGTTTTAATGTCATATTTTAGTATTGCCTCGGCTCGCCTTAGCTCGCTCAGAACCTTGCTGGAGGTGATACAAAAAAAAGTACCTAAAAGCAGGAACGGGTTCAACCTTTACACAGTGGAAAACCAAACAAAGGCGAGCTGAGCCGAACTGCTACTGTGTAGTGGAAAAGCACCATTAGACTGTGCTGGGCCGTCAGACTACAGGTTTTACCATAACTCTACTTACTTCAGTTAGGGTTAGGGTTATGGTTAGGGTTAGGATTATGGTTAGGGTTAGCTAACATCAGTTTGACTTAATGTGTATTGTAAAATCAACCATGAGTTGTGTAAAATGTGCTTTATAAATAAATAAAATAAAGAAAGATTATATTTTACAAGCACAAATATGAGTTTTCTATATTAGTATTGGCCAGTTTGTGTGTGACTTACACCCGATTTATGAGGACATCTGTTTTATGAGGACATCAACATTATAAGATGTTTGACTTGTCTGAAGAATCGGTGTGTGTGTGTGTGTGTTTGACAAAAGCCTGCTTTATGAGGACACTAGTTATTATAGGGACACAGGGGTGCACTGATATGGAATATTAAAATTGATCCTAATAACCCATAACTTGTAGCTCATTGTGGCCAATACTGATATAGAGAACTCATATTTGTGTAAATATTTTTGGTTTATTATGAATCTGGCAGGGCAGATTAGACTGTGCTGGGCCGCCAGACTACAGGTTTTTTTTTTACTTTTTACTTCTGTTAGGGTTATCTTCTTACTAGGTATTAATTATCTATTGTATAGTTGTATTGTTTTTCTATTTACTGTGACTTTATGTATTGTAGAGCACTTTGGCTCAACCATGAGTTGTGTTAAAATGTGTTATTCCATATCAGTGAACCCCTGTGTCCCCATAATAACTAGTGTCCTCATAAAGCAGGCTTTTGTCAAACACACACACACACACACCGATTCTTCAGACAAGTCAAACATCTTATAATGTTGATGTCCTCATAAAACAGATGTCCTCATAAATCGGGTGTAAGTCACACACAAACTGGCCAATACTAATATAGAAAACTCATATTTGTGCTTGTAAAATATAATCTTTCTTTATTTTATTTATTTATAAAGCACCTTTTACACAACTCATGGTTGATTTTACAATACACATTAAGTCAAACTGATGTTAGCTAACCCTAACCACAATCCTAACCCTAACCATAACCCTAACCCTAACTGAAGTAAGTAGAGTTATGGTAAAACCTGTAGTCTGACGGCCCAGCACAGTCTAATGGTGCTTTTCCACTACACAGTAGCAGTTCGGCTCAGCTCGCCTTTGTTTGGTTTTCCACTGTGTAAAGGTTGAACCCGTTCCTGCTTTTAGGTACTTTTTTTTGTATCACCTCCAGCAAGGTTCTGAGCGAGCTAAGCCGAGCCGAGGCAATACTAAAATATGACATAAAAACAATAACGACTGCTAATTGGGTTAGGGTTTGGGTTAGGGTTATTCACTGCGTCATCAATGCACACGCCAAATGGAGTATCCAGAATAACCCTGCCATTTTTAAATAGTTTGGCCAGAGATAGTTACTAAACTTACTACTATTAGTACGACTTTCCTTTGAGAAATAGTTAAAAATATTTTTGGTTCATTATGAATCTGGCAGGGCAGATTAGACTGTGCTGGGCCGCCAGACTTCAGGTTTTACCATAACTTTACTTCAGTTAGGGTTAGGATTATGGTTAGGGTTAGCTAACATCAGTTTGACTTAATGTGTATTGTAAAATCAACCATGAGTTGTGTAAAAGGTGCTTTATAAATAAATAAAATAAAGAAAGATTATATTTTACAAGCACAAATATGAGTTTTCTATATTAGTATTGGCCAGTTTGTGTGTGACTTACACCCGATTTATGAGGACATCTGTTTTATGAGGACATCATCATCATGAGATGATGTTCTTGATGTTTGACTTGTCTGAAGAATCGGTGTGTGTGTGTGTTTGACAAAAGCCTGCTTTATGAGGACACTAGTTATTATGGGGACACAGGGGTTCACTGATATGGAATAACACATTTTAACACAACTCATGGTTGAGCCAAAGTGCTCTACAATACATAAAGTCACAGTAAATAGAAAAACAATACAACTATACAATAGATAATTAATACCTAGTAAGAAGATAACCCTAACAGAAGTAAAAAGTAAAAAAAAAAACTGTAGTCTGGCGGCCCAGCACAGTCTAATCTGCCCTGCCAGATTCATAATAAACCAAAAATATTTACACAAATATGAGTTCTCTATATCAGTATTGGCCACAATGAGCTACAAGTTATGGGTTATTAGGATCAATTTTAATATTCCATATCAGTGCACCCCTGTGTCCCTATAATAACTAGTGTCCTCATAAAGCAGGCTTTTGTCAAACACACACACACACACCGATTCTTCAGACAAGTCAAACATCTTATAATGTTGATGTCCTCATAAAACAGATGTCCTCATAAATCGGGTGTAAGTCACACACAAACTGGCCAATACTAATATAGAAAACTCATATTTGTGCTTGTAAAATATAATCTTTCTTTATTTTATTTATTTATAAAGCACATTTTACACAACTCATGGTTGATTTTACAATACACATTAAGTCAAACTGATGTTAGCTAACCCTAACCACAATCCTAACCCTAACCATAACCCTAACCCTAACTGAAGTAAGTAGAGTTATGGTAAAACCTGTAGTCTGACGGCCAAGCACAGTCTAATGGTGCTTTTCCACTACACAGTAGCAGTTCGGCTCAGCTCGCCTTTGTTTGGTTTTCCACTGTGTAAAGGTTGAACCCGTTCCTGCTTTTAGGTACTTTTTTTTGTATCACCTCCAGCAAGGTTCTGAGCGAGCTAAGGCGAGCCGAGGCAATACTAAAATATGACATTAAAACAATAACGACTGCTAATTGGGTTAGGGTTTGGGTTAGGGTTATTCACTGCGTCATCAATGCACACGCCAAATGGAGTATCCAGAATAACCCTGCCATTTTTAAATAGTTTGGCCAGAGATAGTTACTAAACTTACTACTATTAGTACGACTTTCCTTTGAGAAATAGTTAAAAATATTTTTGGTTCATTATGAATCTGGCAGGGCAGATTAGACTGTGCTGGGCCGCCAGACTTCAGGTTTTACCATAACTTTACTTCAGTTAGGGTTAGGATTATGGTTAGGGTTAGCTAACATCAGTTTGACTTAATGTGTATTGTAAAATCAACCATGAGTTGTGTAAAAGGTGCTTTATAAATAAATAAAATAAAGAAAGATTATATTTTACAAGCACAAATATGAGTTTTCTATATTAGTATTGGCCAGTTTGTGTGTGACTTACACCCGATTTATGAGGACATCTGTTTTATGAGGACATCATCATCATGAGATGATGTTCTTGATGTTTGACTTGTCTGAAGAATCGGTGTGTGTGTGTGTGTTTGACAAAAGCCTGCTTTATGAGGACACTAGTTATTATGGGGACACAGGGGTTCACTGATATGGAATAACACATTTTAACACAACTCATGGTTGAGCCAAAGTGCTCTACAATACATAAAGTCACAGTAAATAGAAAAACAATACAACTATACAATAGATAATTAATACCTAGTAAGAAGATAACCCTAACAGAAGTAAAAAGTAAAAAAAAAAAAACTGTAGTCTGGTGGCCCAGCACAGTCTAATCTGCCCTGCCAGATTCATAATAAACCAAAAATATTTACACAAATATGAGTTCTCTATATCAGTATTGGCCACAATGAGCTACAAGTTATGGGTTATCAGGATCAATTTTAATATTCCATATCAGTGCACCCCTGTGTCCTCATAAAGCAGGCTTTTGTCAAACACACACACACACACCGATTCTTCAGACAAGTCAAACATCAAGAACACCTTATGATGATGATGTCCTCATAAAACAGATATCCTCATAAATAAGGTGTAAGTCACACACTAACACTGACACACATGAACATTACCTTGGGTAACATGAACCTTTAAAATAATCCAACAAATTAAAAATAGTTAATGTGAAGTTTCCATACCGTGCATCACTTGGCCACTCAGGATCACCATGATTATATGTGATCTCTTCATTGTTTGGAGCAAACAAGCATAGCTGAGGTTTTCCATCCACAGCGATAGTCTTCATCTTGCAGGTCGGGTTCATATGGTCAACCAAGGGAACCGTCATCTCGGGCTGATCAACACTAAACAAATGACAGTTCAAGCTTGAACAGACAAATTCACACAAAATTATGTCAAAATGAAACACAGTTGGTCTTAAAGGGATACTTCAGGATTTAGCATTAAGCTTTGTATCAGTAGAAAGCCAGTAGTATTTTCGAATTACCGTGCTTCTCCCCCCTCATATCCCCCTCATATAGGGTTGGGAACCGAGAACCGGTTCTTATCCAGAACCGGTTGTGTTTTTGAAAAAATACCGGAACCGTGTAAAATTCCTAAGTTTCGGTTCAGTCCGTAACTTTTTGTGTGTTCAGAATTTACAATATGTATACAAAGAGCGAGTGCATCATGAATGCCTTTTATTAAAATCGTGTTTTTGTCTTATCTTGAATCACTACGTTAAGCCTGTAATAAGCGTTAATACTCTGACTTCTTGTTTAGACTGGCCGGCGGATCGCAGCTGCTGCGGGGTAGCCCAATGCCTGCGCGACTCGCATGGTGACTCGTCATGGACATAAACAGAGAAAAGTAGCTCCGGCAACAATGTTCTTCCGCAAGACGCATGCAGTTCTGTTAGAGCGCCGATTTATCCAGTAATGAAAGAAGTAAAGTCTTTATGAATCAATCATTCAAACCGTTTAAAAAAATAATCTGTTCTTTACACATCTTGCATGTGTGTTCAAGCATATTCTACCCCTTCTGGGAGGGTATTCTTCACTGTTGGAGATACAATAAGCAAGGAGAGGTCCTATAGCCTATTATTCTAGAATGCAGAATTTTTTTTTCTTCAGAATTTTATTTTTTTGTGCAAAAATTGCTTGATAATATGTTCAATTTATTTACATTACCAGTCTGTTAAACTCATTTGTCAAGTACTATAAGAAATAAACAGAAAAAGGATTGTGGATTTATCTCTTACTAATATTTTTTAATTAATGGGAACCGGAACCGGAATCGTTTGGCGGAACCGGAATCAGAACCGGAAAATTTGCCACGATTCCCAACCCTACCCTGATATGAGAGAAAAATTCATTTTTTGTCTGGAAAAAATCCTCCGATAACGCAAAAATCGTCATTTTGCATCATCGGAGGATTTTTGGGCCAGAGGCTAAAGACTACAGTCAGTGTTCAGCATGTTTTCACCACGCCCATATGGGGCGGGATCTCACTGACCGAATGTAAAGATCGTGTCAGCCGTCTTTCTGTAGAAGCTAAGCTAACGGCTCTTGCCTCTTGGTCTGTATAGAAAGTTTGTATAGTAGGCTAATCACGATGGTGTAAGGTAGTTTTGAAGTTGAAATGGCAGAAGGGGATTTCAAAGATCTGTTGAGAGAATCTGATGCTCGCGGGAGCCTGTTGCGGGAGATGGAGGAACAAGAGTCGGCCGGAGCAAGACAGACTCCAGCTGGGGCGAGCGAGAATCTGATGCTCGCGGCTATCTGTACGAGCCGCAATACAGCGATAAACAGTTGCGGGAGATGGAGGAACAAGAGGCGGCCGGAGCGAGACCTGAGCCCAGCCAGACTCGAGCTGGGCCACGTGAGTGCTTTCGCTCTGCACCTATGGAAACAGATATAGAGTCCTATTGCTGTCGCGAATCTCAGCGATGCCATTACGTCTGGTGAGATCACTGAATCCGCAGAGCTTTGAGAGTAAAAGTGTTAATAATTATTTTTTTAATTAAAAGTTATAACTCACATTGGTTGTGGTTCTTTTAATAAATCTTTAGTGTTAGTATGGATTAGCCTAGACAATGTATTAACTTAGAGAAATAGTGATTTCAATTGGAGGAAAACAGTTCATAAGCAGAGCTACTAAGCTACTGTGTTGACATGGTCCTGCCTGACATCATATTTTTACTGTGAAAGTCTAAGTTGTGTTATATACATTAGGCTAGTACATCCCGGTACAATGCAATTTAGCACCATTTCGATGTAAATTTATCAAATAACTCACGATGTATCAAAGCAAGCGTAGTTGTATTAATTTTTTGGATTCTGCCGCCTGTAACTGGTAGGCGTGGTTTGGGAGTGGCCTCGTAAGGGCAGCAAAGCAAGTGCATTCTGGGAGTTGTCATCTTTCAGCCACATGAGTAAAAAATACATTTTCTCAGTCTAGAATGCTTCAATTTCAAAAATAATTTAATATTTCTACTATATAAATGACCAATTTTAAATACACATTTATCTTCCCAGAGGTGAAGTTTCCCTTTAAGTGAACATAAACAGTTGAAAATAAAACACATGTGTATGCTGGTCGCGCTCATATGTAAATTGCGTAAGCTTATTTCATCAATTAGATCGAAAAAGATCTACCCTCACCACGAAGAAATCTGTGGTTAAAGTGGCAAAAGACGGATTAAAACACCAGGTGTAAACAGGAATGTGTGTCCCTCGTCCACTCGTGATCGAATCTGGGCTATAAGTACAAAGGTTACATACGCATCAAACACTTGTACATACCAGAGGAGTTTTCTATCGTAATGAAACTCGTCATGATGAGATACTCTTTGCCTTCGCTCTCGTTCTTCTTCTTTTCTTAGTCTCCTCCATATTCAAGCAGGAAATATCCCTTATGAAACTCAGAGCAACTGAACACTCCTCTCCCTACACAACAACAGAGAAGAAGAAACACCATCACTGTAAATAACATATCATGTACATGACACAGCTTTATTAAACACATTAATTTCACTTAAACTTCACTTCACTTAAACTTAACTCTATCAAACCATTTAACTCACCTTTAAAATCATTGATGAATCTGTCTTTGTTCTGAAGTGAAAACTACGCCTCATCCAGTGGCTTGGGCTCTCAGAGTGTCTGCTGTCATAGAAAAGACCCTCATTAATACTAGTCAAAAGACCCTCATTAATACTCAATATTGCATTTCATTTGACATATTCAGCAGGTTTGTTTTCAGTATAAACATTAAGACTGACAGTTCTATTAGTACAGATTATATGGTATTACATGCAGGAGGAATAAGAGCACATGACCAATCTCTAAAGCCAGCAGAACTGCAGTAATATTTACAGTAGCATGTCAGGATACTGTACTGGGGAAACCTCGCCCCTTCACAGAGTCATGACATCTCCTTATTTTGATCATGGCTAGCCTATTTTATGTTACAATTACAATTATATTGCAAACTAAAACTAGTTAAACTGTCAAACATCTCATATTCTCTCCTGACAGTCTGTAAACAGAATGGCGATCACTGTAAAGGTCGTTAGCATCGTTAGCATCTGGCGCTAGCGGCTTCATTACAGTAAACCGAGCAGCAAAGAGCTTACAAGACATGCACAAACAAGACAAACTGACCTACAAGCTATTAAACAGCAGTAAAGCTTACCTTTCCAGTAATAGTTGCTTTAAACAGGTCCAAATCACAGGTGTCTTCTCAGCTGCAGTTTCCACCCGGTCCAAACAGGAAATAAACGCGACGCTAAACTATGATTATTAGACCATATGGATTATAATAAACGATATTGTAGAATAATAATACCATTATGTATGTAAATAGCCATCTATGATATAGTCTATGATATAGCAGTTAACAGTGTGGTTAGGGTCGCGTTTCTCCATTAAACTGATTGCGAACAGCTTTCAAGCTATTTTCATTTTTCATAATATGATATTTACGGATTATTTATCATTGCAGGGTCACTTTGCATTTATATATTTCATTGACAATTGATAAATTATAAAACAATAATGTTTAAATAGTTAGTAAACTGCATTAACTCGTGTGAGGTAAACACATTAACACAGTGGTCTGACAAAACCCGAAATTATGAGGACTTCCGGCGGTCACAGCCAATCACAAACTGCGATTTCATACACAAGTGTGAATATTCATGAGGAGGTGCAGTACCCCAGACCCACCTACAGGGGCACTGTCTCGATACACACGTTTTACACAAAATCATGTAAATGTGAACTATGGGGACTTGTGGAGAAATTTTGGATTTGAGCTCCCTCTAGGTATAGAAGCACTTCTACACTGTTAGAATTATGAGGACACCGGTCATGTCCCCATAATTCAAAATGTCCCCATAGTGTTGTGTGTATTCATGTGAAATGTCCTCGTAATTCACAAAAACCAACACACACACACACACACACACACACACACACACACACACACACACACACACACACACACACACGCGCACGCACACACACACACACACACAGGTTATATATATATATATATATATATATATATATATATACACTCACCGGCCACTTTATTAGGTACACCTGTCCAACTGCTCGTTAACACTTAATTTCTAAGCAGCCAATCACATGGCGGCAACTCAGTGCATTTAGGCATGTAGACATGGTCAAGACAATCTCCTGCAGTTCAAACCGAGCATCAGTATGGGGAAGAAAGGTGATTTGAGTGACTTTGAACGTGGCATGATTGTTGGTGCCAGAAGGGCTGGTCTGAGTATTTCAGAAACTGCTAATCTACTGGGATTTTCACGCACAACCATCTCTAGGGTTTACAGAGATTGGTCCCAAAAAGAAAAAACATCCAGTGAGCGGCAGTTCTGTGGGCGGAAATTCCCATAGTTGATGCCAGAGGTCAGAGGAGAATGGCCAGACTGGTTCGAGCTGATAGAAGGGCAACAGTGACTCAAATAACCACCCGTTACAACCAAGGTGGGCAGAAGAGCATCTCTGAACGCACAGTACGTCGAACTTTGAGGCAGATGGGCTACAGCAGCAGAAGACCACACCGGGTGCCACTCCTTTCAGCTAAGAACAGGAAACTGAGGCTACAATTTGCACAAGCTCATCGAAATTGGACAATAGAAGATTGGAAAAACGTTGCCTGGTCTGATGAGTCTCGATTTCTGCTGCGACATTCGGATGGTAGGGTCAGAATTTGGCGTCTACAACATAAAAGCATGGATCCATTCTGCCTTGTATCAACGGTTCAGGCTGGTGGTGGTGGTGTCATGGTGTGGGGAATATTTTCTTGGCACTCTTTGGGCCCCTTGGTACCAATTGAGCATCGTTGCAACGCCACAGCCTACCTGAGTATTGTTGCTGACCATGTCCATCCCTTTATGACCACAATGTACCCAACTTCTGATGGCTACTTTCAGCAGGATAATGCGCCATGTCATAAAGCTGGAATCATCTCAGACTGGTTTCTTGAACATGACAATGAGTTCGCTGTACTCAAATGGCCTCCACAGTCACCAGATCTCAATCCAATACAGCATCTTTGGGATGTGGTGGAACGGGAGATTCGCATCATGGATGTGCAGCCGACAAATCTGCGGCAACTGTGTGATGCCATCATGTCAATATGGACCAAACTCCCTGAGGAATGCTTCCAGCACCTTGTTGAATCTATGCCACGAAGAATTGAGGCAGTTCTGAAGGCAAAAGGGGGTCCAACCCGTTACTAGCATGGGGTACCTAATAAAGTGGCCGGTGAGTGTATATACATACATACATTTACACACACACACATAAATTTACTTGATTTCAGCTTGCCTTGCCAATATTTCTCATTTTCAGTTAGTTCAACTTGATGTAAAATGCAACAAAATGTAATGATAGACATAAAAAATATGAAAATTCTAATTCAAACTATAAAAACTATAATATCTAAATGACACTAAATTCCCAACCAGCCACAATGAGACAGATTTTAGAAGTAATTTGCACAAAGCAATGGTTTACCGTGTCTGGTGTGTAAGGACTTGACTGACCTGAACCCTTATTACATTTGGGATGAATTTTAACACAGACTAGAGTCAATCTCCCAACAATAAGACCTCACTCATACTCTCTGTCTGCAATAGAACAAATCTCTGCATCCATGTTCCAATTAGTGAAGAACATTAACAGAGAAGTGAAAAGGTACCTGATAATGAGGTGTCCACCTACTTACCATCCGGAAAATGTGCATCACTGTGCCATGTTGCTGCCTGCCATGGTATTTCTTGTCAGGGATCCTGCGGCAATCATAGTACAACCAGTAAAACCCTTTGGTTCTGTCTCTCTTAGTGATTGATGGGAGGTCACACACACACTCCTACAGCCTCTTTATGCCTCAATTCTGCTTTTGTTTAAATGTCAATTCAAAAGTGTTTCCTTTTCTCTTCAGAACCTCTTTGACAGGATCGGCTCAGTCTGTAGTAAACCCACGCGCACACACACACAGACAAAGCACATCATTCCCAGTGTAATTACCACGCTGTCTGACTGTACACAGCATTTAAAAATCCCTGTGTATCCTGCAGCGCCTGTATAAACCCTGCAGTCAGAAATCACTGTATGGGGAGCTTTCAACTATACACTGGGATTCTTTTCACTCAGTCTGAATGCATTACTTGAAATAAAAAGGCAAACAGAAAATATTGGTCAGAGCTGGTTATATTTGGATTTCTATTTGTGGATGTGATGGTGGTTTCTGAGATGCCTGAAAATATAATGTGGTGATAGCAGGGTACAATGATAATATCTATGGTAATTCTTTTCATAAACGTGAATAGAAAATTGAAAACAGATGAAAAATATATGGGGGAAACGAACTGCGTAAACAAAAGCAACAATTGTCACAAAATAAATGTTCCCTTGGTTATACTGTGCTGCCAATTTTTGTTCACGTTTCTTTTTATTTTCATCCAAAATGTTTTCTTGGGTATCTTTTCCAGGTTGTTTGCTTGAGACTCACATTATGAGTACAGTTGTATGCAGAGCAATATAGGGAGTCACATTATATATATATAGTATATATATATATATATATATATAGTGTATATATATATATATATATATATATATATATATATATATATATAGTATATATATATATATATATAAGAGTAAATCTATCAATCTATCTATCTATCTATCTATCTATGTGTTGTCAAAAGTACTGACATCAGTACCAAGTCAGTACTGAAATTTTGAAAATGTGATGCTTTGAGCGCTGTTGAGTGGAATTGTAAACACCTCTGATTGGCCAATTGCACGCGCTCATCGAACATGTCTGTGATTGGCTACAATGATCAACGCACTAGAGCGTTTGAGAGCACATGGAAGTGTACGAAATTCTTTTGAATGCACAAGCAGGCATCTATCAGCAGACCAGTATGTATATGTGCAAGGGCTCGGTTAAAAGTGTCATAGTATATTTACAACACGTTTTTTTTTTTTTTTTTTAAGTACTGATTACAGTAGCCAATCACAGACATATTTAATGAGCATGTGAGCACAATGGCCAATCAGAGGTATTTACTATTCAAAGTGTAACATTTTTTTTTTAAATTTCAGTACAGACTTGGTACCGAAGTTGCTACTTTTTGACAACACTACTATCTATCCATCTATCTATCCTACTATCTATCTGTCAAAAACTGGGCCTGTATTAAAATATGAAAAGTAATGCATAATCTGAATTCTGCAGAAAGCACTGTTGTAATATGTTCAAAAGAAACACATGCCAGAACCGAAGTACCATTTCCAGAAAACTGTAGTCATATTGCTGTTTGTGTCAGTAAAAGTTTGCTGCATTAATGAATAGATCAATACACAAGCAACAGAATTGGTGAACCTGCATTTTTTTTCAAGTGTGTCTTAAAAATTAAAAAGCTAATAAAAATACGGTTATTTCATGAGGAAAGAACACCTACAGACACCAAAGACAGCTGAGCTCCACAAGCAATGAATTGTCAGTATAGCTTGCCTGATGTATTTCACATTTTTTTATGAATCTAAAGGAAACCGTATCATATGCGTGTGTGTCCTGATGGACTGCACACATTAGCAAGAGCAATCGACAGGTCAGATATTTGATTGTACAATAAACAGAAGATCAATGGTTCCATGTCACTGTGAGCTCCTGCACAAGGCCAAAGTCGCTTCCACCACATTCACGTTGGCAATCTCCGGAAATGCTTTTCCTTCATCGATTCCCTTTCCTTCTCATTAAATAGCCCAGAAAACAAGTCTATGAAAAGGTGCTTTGCAGCAAACTTCTTTTAACCCATCGGGTAGTACGTCTGTGTCTTGTAAATGGAATTCATTCAAATGCATCTAATCCGTGACTGGGTTGAGAACAAGGGTGCCAGACTAAAGCGAGTCTAACCCAGCCACATTACCAATCCAATCAAGGTGAAACCGTTTCAATTAACATAACTCAGTTCAGTTCAGTCTTTATTGTCCCACCTGGGGAAATTTGATTTGCAATAGGGTTAAAAAGGGTTGTATAACGGCCGTTAAGAACAACGGCCGTTATACAACCTTTTTTGTTCGTCTAAAAGTACTCAATAGTTGAAATGGTAGCCTCAACAATCTATCGTTTTGAGGAGCAGCTTAAGCTCAGTACAAATTTAGGGCATTAATTGCCATGGGTGCAAAGGAAAACTTGTATCTGTTAGTTTTTATTTTGGGCAATATGTATCTTCTCCCAGAGGGGAGAAGAACAAATTCCTCCAACAGAGGGTGGTCAGAGCTATCTATGATAGTCTAAGCCTTACATATAACTTGTCTTTTATAGATGTCTGCCAAGGAAAGTTTAGTTCCAATTATTTTGCTGGCTACCTTAAATGTTAGACAGTTTATTTTTGCTTTGTACCGTAAAATTCCCATACCAAGCTATGCAACAAAAAGT